GGTTTGTGGCCACGAGGGGGAACTCTAGTCCACGTTTACTGCTGTTAAAACTCACCTCCAGTGTAGTAAAAGCACAACTAACAGCACAATCCATTGTTGCTTTAGTAACACTCGACTAGCCCTCCTCGTATTGTTGTATTTCGTACATACGTAGGTAAGGTGACCATTAAAAAGGTCTTAAATTACATGCATCGTTTACAAGGTGCGCTTCACCGCTGGACTGCTGGGTAAAAAAAAAAAAAATCAAATAAAATCAAACTGCTTTAAACTGTGGAACTTCCTCCTGTCATATTATCCAAGCCGTATGCCGTCATTTAAACGCAGCCGTGTTTTACACTTTATTGGCTTTATAGATGTCTTTAGTTATATGCTCTAGTGCTGGGCTCCACTTGCAACACAAAGGTCCCAGGCGTGTCATTCCCTTTCGTCATTCATCTTCATAACAGCCAGTTAGTGTAAAATTAACAACGACTTAACTAACGGCGGCCATAAACGTGCCTGTGCATTAGAGGCAGATGGATGGTGGTGATGGAGGCTGGCCTGGGACTTAACAGGGAGAGTTGCTCCAGATCTTTTTTTTTGGGGGCGGGGGGGTTGATGTTGTGTGGCCCTGTTGCAAGATAACGAGATGCTCTTTCATTTTGTCCCTTTTGCGATGACGTGAATTTAAATTTTGTCAAAAATAGAGATGAAACGATAAATTGCATTCATTGCAACCTGTGTGGATGTCCTGAACTCAGATATCGCATTATGTGCGATGAGAGGTGTGTGTGTGTGTGTGTGTGTGTGTGTGTGTGTGTGTGTGTGTGTGTGTGTGTGTGTGTGTGTGTATGTGTGTGTGTGTGTGTGTGCGCATGTGTGTGTGTGGGGGGGGGTCCTTATGTAGGAGGTGGGGGTCTGGTAATTTGGTCTATAGCTGCGTAATCCCGCCTGATTTCATCTAATACCACCGGGCAGACGCAGCGACGTGTGCGCACATCCCGCGACGTGATAATAGTTCCCTGTAAAATCCAGCCTGCCCCCGTTTTTGCAAATCTTTTAGGATGGCTGAAAATTGACGGTTCGCGCGTGTCAGTTAGCGCGCGCGCGTGTGTGTGTGCGTGCCCGCGCCCGGCAACATGAAATTCCATCGCCAAAACGCATGCAGGACTAGATATGACAGGGATTTGAAGCTCTGCATTGAAATTGAGAGGACACCTGGAGAAAAAAAAAGAGAGAAAAAAATCTTTAGCCCATTGCTTGAGGCTGATTTCCAAACCATGTGGAAAACATTGTGAACGAAAAACTCTCGAATGGAGTTGTGGCTAGACCTCACGAAATCATCGGAAGTTTGGTTCTGTTGGATACAGTACGTAAACAGTTAACACGCACTTTAACAAGTGTTCGAAACTGACGGGGCAAATGTACGTCTGGGGCATATTCACGGTAAAACTATGGTTTTAAAAAATCCATTAAAGTATTTTAAAGCATGCTCACAGCTCGGGTTTTAGGGGAGATTTCAAAACAATATAGGCAGCGACCCGAGAGACCAAGAGCGAAATGAAGGTGTAAAGAAGAGCATAGAGGGGAGTGAATTGGGTGGGGGTGTGTTATGTGGATCTGATTTATCTCAGGGGCCCCTTGGTCATTTCCATATATTGAAATGCGCCCCCAGTTACTCAATTTCCCCGGAGCTGTCGTGCGTGCAGAGGAAGGCGCCCATGTGACCATCATAGGTCTGATGCTCTGTTGTCTCTCCGCTCTTTTCGCGTCCCTTACCACACACACACACACACACACACACACACACACACACACACACACACACACACACGCACACGCACACACACGCACACGCGCGCGCGCGCGCGTACACGCACAGGGACACACGCACGCTCTTATTTTGGATCCACAACCAACGCCACTGTGCACTCTTGAATGTTGACATACTAAGGTTGATCAAAAGAGCAAAAGTGCGGAAGCATTCAATTGGGTGATAAATCCCACATGTAGTACAGGTGATATCAAAAGCATTCTTTTGGATTTGTAGTAACTGCTTGCAAAGTGTATGACTTTCCCCCCCCACAAAGTACGTCCAGATCATGCATTGAAGTCAACATGCAAACATGCGTGCGCACCGTGCACGGCTTTCCTTTCGTCGCACAATTGTAAAGTCTGATTTATGACGAGAGGCGCGCTTCCAATTTCCATCTGGGGACAGCCCAGTGCGCCATCCGTGCGTCCGAGCAGCTCTGTGGGCTTTGAGCAATGCCCCGCATGCACACGCGTTTGTGAATATACGTGTGGTGGAGAGTGCGTAAAGTGGCAGTTGAGGATGAGGAGGGAGATTGGAGGAAGAGAAGACTATTTGTAGCAAAACAGATGGAGCGGTTATAATGAGAGGTCAAGGTTATCGTGCGTTGAATTTAGGGAGCTGTAAAATGACACCTCTTTTAACCGTGGGTACAAATTGGGATTATATGGGAGCGGTCTCGAATACTTGTTGGCCCCGGGCTTTTAAGGTTTCTATGCTGCCTGTCAAGGACTTGCGGTGATTTGAACGAAAATGTAATGAAGCCAAGGTTCAGATGCAATGGAAATATAAATAAGTGTGTATCAAGTATTGCATTTGTATTACATTACAAATAAAAAAAGTATTGTTGAAAGTCGAGCGCTCGTTCACACAGCACGTTTGTCCGCTTTACTGGGGCGGTGGCTTCTAATGGCGATACAAATGACTGGAAAAGTCACATTTCTCAAACTGTGTTAAAGTGGAACGAAAATAGGGTTGACAAGTCACGCATAATAATATGAATAAATATGGAAAAAAATGTTTCCACCTGACCTGCCAATAGCCCAAATGAGGCAAATGGGAAAAGGTTGAAATTTACAATTTTAACCTTTTTTGATCCACTCTCATGTCATCACAAAGTGGACCTTTAAACTACTGTTGTTTTCTGCATCCAAATCCAAGGTAAAAAAAAAACAAAACAGATTGACATTCTTGAACCCCGTCGTTAGTTTTATTTGCTTGATGAAGCAGCTCTGGAATTACGATATTAATTCATCACTTCTATTCATTCTCCCTGATGCATTCACCATTCCCATTCGCGAATGCGTCTTATCATTCGGGACCGCTGTATGAAATACAAATTGTGACAAGAACCCGCAACAAGACGCGTATACTTTCTGGACAAGCGTTTTGTCCTTCCATCCGGAGGAACCTGCTGGTAGGCGAGCATTGACACAAATGGACGCACATGCGCGCGCGTGTGCCGACCTGCCCCATAACAAGCCATGCGAGCAAGTTGCAACTTGCAAAATATTTCACTCACTGGTCATGCATTTTCCCCCTTGACGTTGAACCTCCTCCGCCACTCCTCCGGCGACTCGCTCTCTCTCTCTCTCCTTTTCTTTCATGTCTGTCTCTCTACCATCACCCCCAGCCCCCCTCCTCCTCAATCTCCTGGCCTGCCTCCCCACACCACCACCACTAACACCCCCCCCCCCGTATTAAGTGCGCGTCCTCTTCGGTCAGTGAGCGAATCTCCGGGCTCTCGCATGAAGCGCGACTCCAAGCTCCCTCCACCAACGCCGAGGTCGCTCGCTTCTTCCTGCCGTCTTCTCGTGCAGTCAGACGAGCCACCGTGTCCCCCCGTCTTCTCCCATTCTCTCATCCGTCTCTTTTGTCGCTTCCGAGCGAGAACCGCGTCTTTCCACCCATTGTGTCTCCTCAGCGGATGGCAGCACCGGCTGCGCGCTGTACGCGCGCGACTTTGCCGATATAAAGCCTGTCGTCTTATATTACCAAACCCCCTTTTATTACAAGAGTATTTACAATCTCTTCCCCCTCCTCTTCTTCTTCACTCTTCCTCCTCCTTCTCCTATACACCACCCCCACTACCGACGAACCCTCCCCCGTTCCAGCTCGAACCTGAATCACATCTGAAAGTTATTATGGGCCAGCTCCGCACTTTTTGCCAAGGTCAACAGCTTGGGTTTCACCCGGATCGAGTCAGAATAGACAGCCAAGGGCTCTTGGCCACTATATGTGAAAAGTGCCCACTAAATGTATTCACTCACTTACCGCTTCCAAAGGTGTGCACAACGTGCTTGGAACCGAGTGCAGTGTAGGAAATGTGAGCGATGGACATGACCTCGACATGAGACGACACCCATGCAAACTACATTTCAAGAGGAACCTTTTTTTTCATCTCCGGGGAGATCACTTAGTCACTGCCATTGTGAATATGATGCTACAAACTCTTACGGGCCTTCATCGGGGTGATAAAGACAAAAAGTTAAAAATACAAAAAAGAGTGACATGTTATTCAAGGTCATCACTAAAGTCGTGGGAATGGGGTTAATAATTAGCATACGTAAAAAGCAACCCACTGCTTAGCTGGTGGATCTCGATTTGGGATTGCTTGCGGCGGCCAATATTGTCTAAAATGCAAACACCTCGACTCCAAGTGTTTTGTGCTTGTGGCCACGCACACGACGCAAGTCCACGCGAGCCGCCCGGTATTTGTCGAAGTACGTTCAGGAGGATCATTCTCGCCCCACTCGGCGGCTCCGCTTGCCCTGTTTCACGTCCATGTAAGGTTCTCTCTCTGCATATTGCTTTCATTACACATTTTCTCTCTCTCTCTCTCTCTCTCTCTCTCTCGCGCTCTCTCTCTCTCTCACACGCGCAACGCACACACACCCTTCCTTCGAAGCGTGTCTTGTCCGGCCCCCCTGATCTCTGTGTCCATTGGCTTCCACCGGGTCTACTTCTCATGTGCGGCCCTCCCCCTCCTCTTCCTCCTCCTCCACCTCCCCTCTCCAACGATCGTCCATTGGTGTTGTTATTTCGCGTCCCATCCATCCCTCCTCCCACTCCCACTCCCACTCGGGTGCCTCGGCCCTGCCCATGTTTTTGTATGTCGGGTGTCCGTCCACCGCCTGACGTTCAAGTTCGCCGGGAACGTCACGTCCGTGCACTTGGAGGGGGGCTTTTGCCATTTTTTTTCCATCGCTCTCCCCTCTCTCCTCTCCTCTCTCTCCATCCTCATACACACACACACTCTCTCTCTCTTTTCTCCGGTCTTCTTTCTCAAAAAAGCCATGAAGGCGATTCTGCGATCCATCTTCGCCTCCGCGCCATCTTTGTATAATTTCTAATTAGTTTTGAATTTTTTCCCCTGAATTATTTTTGTTGTTGTTGTGCGTGGATGACGAAGACGCCGGATGAAGACATTCTTTTGCCCCTCCGGAGTCTCCAATGTGTAACCCCGGCTCTTCCCGATGTGATCCGCACTGAGCGCCGCCGCCAGCCACCATGTCTCGCCGCAAGCAAGGCAAACCTCAGCACTTAAGTAAACGGGATTTCTCGCGTAAGTACAAACCAGAAACGGAAACATGCACGGCACGTCCACTCATTAGTGTCGTTCAGTTCAATCGGCCAACGGGTGTACTGGTGGGTGGGGAGTCAGCGGAACGCCAGCCCGGGAAGACATCGGGATGGACCGCTCGGACCCGCGGTCAACTCGACTCAACAGTGCGGTGACAAAAGTGCGACACGTTAGTTCGTAAACGAGACCGAAATAAGTTTGTTAGCCTTGTTGCAAAACAGCAACGGGATCCAAAAACAAGATATTTAACGGTGACCGAGTCCAATTGACTCGTGCTCCGGTGCCCCACGATGGGTCCGGTCAGTGGAGGCGCACACTCGGCTCATCTGAGCCGCTGCACAGCGCGCTCTTTGCAGAGCTCGGGAGAAATCCCCCTCGCAAGAACCCTTACTGTTTCGTGAGCAAGTTTCACCTTCTCTCTCCCTTTCTATTTTTTGGGGGATTATTTTCTAAAAACACAAAATCGTGGGAGTCAAAATTACTGGAAGCAGCGGGGACACACCACCTCGTGTTTACAAACCTCTTCCGTCACAGCAACATCGCGCTTAGCGCAGACAGCACAGATCGATTTCCTTTATTCACTTTTAAAATCATAAAGCCTGTTATGTATATGTTTCGGTGTTCATCCAAGGAACTTTCTCACTGAAACACGCGCCAAAGAGTTTGTTCAGTCCCGAGTTGCAAGACAGCAACAGGAACTATACTCATCTTGTGAGATTTCTCATCTTTTTTATTCTACTGAACAAATTGAGGCTATCTAAACTAATGTTAATATTCATAAGCAGCCGACGTAAGACCAAGGTATTACCCATTTTGGATTATTATAATATCAGAAAGGGATACGATTTTAACACCGTTTTACATAAAATTGCCCGTTACGCACGACGTATTGATCACCTGCTGTGATTTGTTTTCTTTATTGCTTCTACTTTGACACCATGAATCTAACATACGAGGGAAAAGCGAATCCGTTTGTTATTAAAGTGCTGGGAGAATGGCCTTGTGTTATATTGAATTTACTCCTTGCGGTATTTCAACGGTTCACCAAATTCAAGTAAATTAGAAAACAACAATAACAACAATAACAAGATATTAGTATACTTACACCTCAGTGCTTGGACATGTGTCGGTATGCTGATTGGCTGTCGCCCGTGCAGCTGTTCGTTTTCGACTGTTTTGGGGGGTACATGATGGGTGACAGTGACCATGGCTAGAAACTGTCGCTAGGAGGCAGAGCACGACCAGAAAATCCAGCTCAGAGCTTGAACTTGATCACTTTCGCTGCTACTCCTCAACATACTCACTGCTAGGAGGTGTGCAGTATTGGGAGCGAAGGACCGTGTGCGTGTGTGTGTGAGAGTGTGTGTGTGTGTGTGGGTGTGTGTGCGCGCGCGTGCGTGTGTGTGAGGTGGGGGGTTTTGGGGAGTAGAGGGTAGTATGGGCAATATATATACATACATACACACATACTCAGTCACTCAGACCCACACACAGGCATGCACGTGCACGGACATTAAAATCTTTACATCATCAAACCCTCCACATGCACTTTAACCTGACCATCTTTTTTGTTTGTTTGTTTTTTTGAGAAGAATAGTTCACATTTTGCATCCATTTGTATACATGTCACATGCAAACAGCTTGTCGGGAATTTATTCACACACATGCATAGGAGTCTCACCAGAACTTTTCTCGACAGGAATATCATCATTTCCAAAACATGTCTACTGCATTGATTACATATAATTTTATTGTTTGTATGTTTATCCCAAGACCAAACCACCTTTTAAACTGTCCAAACCAAAACTAATGACAGAATACAACATGTACTATATATGGAGTTCAACTTGAAAACCAACATTTAATGTAGGCGACAGCAAGGCCATATTTTGGAGTGTGTATTAGGATGAAATGGAACTGATTGCACGATGTAATACACAGACACAATTATGTTCCGTGTTCTTGCGCTGTCTTGCAACTACAGTGCTCTTTTTTTTTTTTACCTTAACAGCATTGCCCCCCTTTTTCTCATTCTTCACACTGTTTTAAATGCAACAAAATGTCTTTCCACCAATATACCAACTCTAACTGAAGCCTTGTAATTGAAGACTTCTTGGGTAACGTTTATCAATATTTTGGTTTTGTCACCGTGATGCCCTCTTTCCCCTTTTTACTGCAGTGTGGAACAAGAGTCAGGCTGTGCTGACCTGAAGTTAAATCAGTAGTGTGCAGGGGGTGCATGTAAGATGATGCTGGGGTGAAGGGGGTTGTGGTGGTGTTGGTGAATTTATCCTGTTATCTCCATGTCCCAGTTTGCACGCAGAAGTGCAGCGTTCAAATGATAATTCATGGAGGGGGATGTAGTTCACATAACATAAAAAAGACACACACACACACACACACACACACACACACACACACACACACACACACACACACACACACAGTCTTGCATTCCAACACACCCTTTATCAGACAAAATCTGTACCAATCACCCAGACGATGAAAATTAAAATCTATTTTTTGATCCTCAGTGGTTTTAAGTTCATTAAAATGTGAAATTGGGTGGCTGAGTTAGAAGGTCAACGAGCATTATCTGGCGAGCGCGGAGTCACACTCCTCACCTTCGACTGGAAGATCTTCTTTAAAAGAAGGACACCGAATTACGTTTCTTGAATTCAGCTTTTGCTTTGTCCGCATGACTCTTCCCCACTGCAGGAGGGTGTGCGTTTGACAAAAGCCTTCTTAAAAAGTAGTCGCAAATTAAACCGACATTGAAAGGTTGAGTAACTGGGTTGAATGGCTCAAGTTCTCGCTTCACAAAACGCCAATATACATACCCTTTTTTTTTCTTTTTTTTTACACTTTTTTTTTTCCTGTCTTCTGGTTACTGGAACAGCACTTGTACTAACAACGTGAGGAAAGTTCAAATGTTATGTAAAAAAAAAAAAAATTAAAATATCTGTGTGTGTGTATATATATATATATATATATATATATATTTTGGTCCCGTGTTGCATACTTAGCACCTTTGAAGCTGATCTTTACAGTTGTTTTGCTCCCTGCTCAATTCACTCAAATAACTTCAGCAAAAGGAATCACAAGACTGTATAAATATGGCACCGGATTTCCTGGGAGGAAGACGTATCTTCTAATTTCCCTCCTTTTTACTCATTCTTCTTCATTCTTCCCACTCTTATCACTTTCTTTTTCTCTGGCCTTTCCTCTTTATTTCCAGCAGCCGATCCCCTTTCCACGGCAGTCGTCGTCTCATCGGAGGAGTTGTCGGAGCGCTGCTCGGAGCACTCGGAGGGGAGCAGCAGCCTCAACGGCCACCGCCCAGGCTCAACCTTAGGCCGGCTATCGCGACTGGGTCATGAGCCCCACCACTCGCCGGAACAGGACCTGCTGACCTGCGGCCAGTGCCAGGCCACGTTCCCCTTGGCGGACATCCTGCTCTTCATCGAGCACAAGAGGAAGCGATGCCACGGCCCCCCCTGTCTGACTGTGGGCCGAGGCCTGGACAAGCCCCCCTCCCCCTCGCCGGGCCTGGCCCTGACCCCGTCTCCCGCCTTGAGCTCTCTGCGCAGCCGAAGGCCCGTGGAAGTTGGCATCCAGGCCACACTGGCGGATGACGACGACGAGCGCTTCTCGTCGCCTCGTGGAATCTGCCCCAAACAGGAGCTCCTCCCAGGTAACCGCTTTTCACACCTCCCATCTTGCATCGTTTCCCTCCGGGTTGGCACGCGAATATGAAAACAAGCCTCTTGGAGGCAATGCTTTGCAGATTTCCTTTGAAGCCGATGTCTGTCCATCCATCACGGCGGGAATACGTTGGTGGATTTGCAATAGGAAGGCGCGATAGGAAACGGTCTTTGTTCAAAGCGTGATTGGATTCCGGCTTGCATCTTTTCATCTCCACATATTGTGCTCGTGTGGAATTTGTTTCATGTGTCTTTGCGCGTGTTGTGCGTCGCGTTACATGACGCAAGTTATCATCGTTGGGCGAGAAGCCTGCAAGTGCTCCACATAAACTGTACGGAGGCCAGTGTATAGTCTACGACGACATGTTAAGACAAGCCTTGGACTTTTGCCGGTTTACAGATAAGGGTAGCCAGAAGCAGGAATGACAAAGAGGTTCTGTCTTCTGTTCCAACCAACGGCGAACTTATATGCTGATGGTGGCCCCACTCCCTTGGTCAGCTTATACAGGACTGTATATCCACATATGAGTGTGCGCGCGCGTCTGTGTGTGTGAGTATTTATGACTCGGACTTAAATTCTTAGGAGTAAGTGCATCCTCTTCCTGAGTTTGGGCGCGCTGAATGTGTGTTCTTTTGAGACGTGCGTGTGCGTGCGTGCGCGTGTGCGTGTGCGTGTGTGTGTGTGTGTGTGTGTGTGTGTGTGTGTGTGTGTGTGTGTGTGTGTATGAGCTTGCTTCTCTCATGTGGCGTGAGCAGATGTGTCCGCTCGGTGTGGTTTGCCTCTTTCATTGCCACATCTAGCCCGACTAAATGCAGCCCAGCTCTACACCCTGCGTTAGGACTTCAAACATTTTTCGTTGCAAAATGTGCTTCATAGGTAAAACATGAGATTTGTCCTCGCTGGCATCTTCTCCCTCATCTTTTCCCTCCCGAAGCAATCAAATAGCAGGCATGCGTAGAGAGGGAAAGGCCAGCATTAGTTAAGCTCTGAAAAGGAAAGTCATTTATATAAAGCATCTTAACACCACTAATTATTTGTTGCGCTGCCATCTTTTCCTCCCCATGCATTTTAATTAGCAGTAGTTTTTAGTGGCCGCCTGTCTGTACCAAATTAGCCACTGCAGAAAGAGAAAGAGTAAAACCGGCATGTTGATGAAACAGAGCGGTGGAGAGACACAATAAAAAAGACACACGTTATCATTTGGTTCCTTGAGTGCATCTCAGGAATCCAAAGTGCTCCGGTTTGTTTTCCATGTCGATGTTTTTGTTTCTCTATTTGTGCGGAAATTGAGTAATTGTCGCGTACGACCTCTCTCCTGCATTGAATAACGTTTAGAGGAGGAGCACAGACGAAGAAAATTATCGACAGACAAACGTGTGTTTGACCTTTTCTGCAGATAGACAAATTTATGTCTGTGCAAGAGGGGGTGTGTCGTTTTTTTCAGGCAAACCTGCTTGTCTAAGCAGTGACTATATTTCAACACTCGCGAGCGCGCGCGCACACACACACACACACACACACACACACGCACACACACACACACACACACACACACACACACACACACAGTTACCAGCTCAACTGGGTTATTAGAGCGATTTACATCATAATGCAGGCGCCTGGTTGCTTCAATAGCGTTGTGTGTGGGAACGTCTTGGTATGAACAGCTGTACACTCAAACTGGTGGCGAAAACAGGATGGCTGTGCTGTATGTCCTGTCTGAGTTCGAACTGCAGAAAGCCATAGAAAATACTTTTTTTTTTTGGGTTTTTTTTTTTTTTTTTTTTTTTTTACACTCCAACTCTAAACCAGCTTTCTGATAGGGGAAAAAAAAGGACACATCTACTCTGATCATAAAAGCCAGTATTCCCCTTCCTGCCCCGTTGCTTTCATCCTAATTGACCCCAAACTGTCACGGCAAAGTAAATATGTCAGAAAAAAAAAAATCCTACCGTCGCTTCAGCCTTGATTATATCTGCCCAGCATTCCTCATGACAAAACAACGAAGAGAGCGGACACTTAGCGCGTTTCTTATTTATTAATGCTGACTTGTTGTGTTCAAGTGACATCTCTAATTATATATTTGATTCATCCTTACAGTAAATCAAGCCAGTCAGACATTAGAAACGAACTGTGTTTTTGAGAGAACTCACACAGATGTATTTTCTTTAAAATTAGTCCCAGCGGTAGCTTTTTAAAACTCAGCAGTCATATTACAGAATGTGGTAGGTGTTTAATCACTCTTACAAGGGAAGCCCCGATCCAAACATCATCTATAATGATTTACTGGCATTGCAATTGGAATAAGAGCTTAACTCATGGAACTCATGCATCTTTTCCCATAAGGCTTTTTTTTTTCTTTTTTTCTTTTTTTTTTACTGCTACCTTGTTTTTATGTACCGATGAATCTGGAGCCGCTTGTTGTGAAATGTGTATCTGTGGTCAGAGTGCGACGATGATGCTCCAGCTGCATCGCTCCGAAGAGCACAAAGCTCCGGACTCGTGCTTGGGCGCCGCTATTTGCATATCAAAGAGATCCGGCTGTGGAGAGGATGCATTACCTGTGTGTGTGTGTGTGTGTGTGTGTGTGTGTGTGTGTGTGTGTGAGGATTGTACAAGCAAATAAGCGATGCAAAAAAAGCAGCATACCTCCCCACCCGCAAACGCACACACGCACGCACCCAATATGTGCTCTCTCTTGCCCATTTATTCTATTAATCTCTGACTGAGATGAAAATTGTGATATAATCCCCGAGTCAGTTCATTCAAAAAAAGCATTGCTAATGTCACAATGGAGAGGGCTTTGCATGTGTGTGTGTGTGTGTGTGTGTCGATGACCACATCTCTCACCTCATCTCTGCATGGTTTTGCTGGCCTCTGAACAGTTTTTTGGTTTGTGATGGGCTGTTTTGTTTTCGGAATCGAATTTTGACGTGCGGCTCCAAGTCCATTTTGAATTCAACAACCTCCTCCTCTTTGACACCATCAGTTATGCCCGTTAATGAGCTGAAATTGAGCCCGCAGAAACAACTGTTCATCCTATTGACCAATGATGTTATCGGCTGATAAACTGCGCTACCCTATCAATATTAGCTCATTAGCGAGGGCCATTATTCCGACTTGCACGAACGAACCCTAAAATGTATTGAGATCCACTTCAAACTATTTATGAAAGCCATTAGTCTGCTGCTGGTGAGATTCCCATTTGAAGGCTGCTAACATGATGATTGTTGAGCATGATTTATTGTTTAGTAATTAGCTCATCATCACTGCTAATGCAACTTACCTCAATACATATTAGTTCATCTCCAAGGTCCATTTATTTTCTTGCATGGTGTCAGGTCCCATTCTCAGTCCTGTTCCTTTCTTTCTATCTCTCCCTCTCTTTCGCCCTGTTCTGAGTTTTTTTTTTTTATTTCTACTAATTCATTTTCTCTTTTCACTCATGCGTTCGTCTCCCTTCCTTGCAACATTTAACAGTTGAATGCAAATCCAACACCGCCGATTGTAACCGAACCACTTTGGATGTGTTCAGTGTGCGTCTCTCATGCTACAGCGAGCCTACAAAGAGATTTCACACACACAGACTGCCATCACTAATCTATTGATAGCCCCTCTTTCGTCCTTTTCCAACACAGGATTTATTAGTGGACTCAAGTGCAGCCTTTTTGAACTTGGCTTCTTGCGTTTGGAATGTGCTTATGAAATGTAAATATCTCTCTGGAGGCATAGAATAGCAGCAGTGGGATAACACGGGCGACCTGATTGACAGCACAGCGGATAATTTGCCGGTGGGGACAACAAATTGTATTCCGCTTTATATTCAGTGGTTATTTCCCATCCGACAAATGTGTTGGTTTCGGGATGGAATTTGTCTTTTAAGTTATCATATCATGTATTACTATATTTTGTCAATAATTCTGAGATTCAGAGGCAATCAACATAAGAAAAAAAAGCCAATGACAAGCGAATACATATTCAGCATTCAAATATTCAAGAAATTAAATAAGGAAAAAACATACATTTATTTCAGAATGCTGAAGAAATATTCTATGAGATATGCGATTTGAACAATTGACAATAAATAGTGTTATTTGATGGATTTAAAAGCAAAAATTGACATGGTTTCAAAGTCATCACTTGATATTGCGCTTTTTAAGCATGTTGCAGCAGGTGATGTCGAAGCTGCCGGGGAGACACGAGTCTCGTTGCGAAATTGACCCCATGAAATTAACGATCTATTTTTAATTCTGTTAAATACAGCAAGCATAGGGTGTGTTTGGGGAAAAAAAAATTGATAAAATGGACAATGCTGTTAAAAGGAGTGACCACCTAATTCTTGTGATGTGATCCATTTGTATGTCTTGCAATTGAATTATGACCAGATACTGAGCTGCAGTCTAGTGAAGCTGTCTGCAGCTTTTTTTTTTTCTTTTCACCCACTGAACGATATCATGTAAAGCAATATTTGGATGCATTGGCACAATCATAAAAAATAAATGATTTGAAAGACAGCTCGTCATGACACTGTTGTCGTAATTTGCGGGAAACCTGCACTTGTTTCTCTTCAACGAGCCAGCCCCATTTGTAAGGGTGATGGGAGACAATCACACCCAAAATCTTACTTATGCCTACTGCATCATTATGTTTTGATCGCTGCCAAAGCAAAAAATCTCACTTCACACAAATAGGACGATGAAAATGGAAGCCAGGTATTGTTTTTTTTTTTTTTTTGAAGCCTTCTTTGCTTCATTTGCGAGGCTGCTGCAGCACATTATGCGGAACGGGAATCACTTGCCGTCCAAATTTTACGTGGAACTGCTGACGTCTTTGAATGAGCCTTTTCCCCTTTCCTCTTCAAAGACATTTTTTTGACGACTTACTTTTTTACGACCATATCACGTGAGCAAAATGAACGGTTTGACGTGTGTACAGTGGCAAAGGTGGCACCTGAATTTCAAAAGCAAACTTCTTTCAGACCCATACTGA